AAGTTCTCAGATTTTTCTTGTCATTGGCAGAATTTTTGTGACGTTCGCAGAACTTTCCAAAAATTTGCTGAACTTTTCTCAAATTCGCAGAAGTTTGCTGGAGTTATTGAGATTTTCTTAACATTTCAAAACTTTTCAGAAGTTTGCAAAATTTTAAGCCTTTTTTAAACTAAATAAAATTTTCCTGAATTTCGAAGAGTTTCTTGAAGTTGCCAGATTTTTCCTAAAATTTGCAGAATTTTTGTGAATTTTGCAGAAGTTTGGTGAAAACTGTAGAACTTTCCAAAAAATTGTAGACTTCCAATAAATTAAGTAAAATTTTCCTGAAGTTCACAGAGTTTCTTGAAGTTTCCTAACATTTGCATAACTTTCGAGAAGTTTGAAGAATTTTGGTGAAAATTCAGAACATTCCAAAATATTTTAGACTTTCGTTAATTTAGTAAAATTTTCCTGAAGTTCGTAGAATTACTTGAAATTACCAGATTTTTCCTGAAACTTGCAGAATTTTCCAAAAATTTGCTGGACATACATCAAATTTGCAGTGTTTTCCTGGAGCTCTTGAAATTATGCTTAACTTTTCAAAAGTTTTCAGAAGTTCGCAGAATTTTCCAGAAAAAATGCAGACTTTCTTGAATGAAGTAAAATTTTCTTGATGTTTGTAAAGTTAATTTAAGTTCACAGACCCCACTGTAGTTCCCAGGTTTTTCCTGCAATTTGCAGAATTTTCGTGAACTTTGCAGAATTTTAGAAAAAATTCTGAGCTTTCCTCAAAGTCGAATAATTGTCCTGGAATTCTGAATTTTTGTTCTGAACTTTTCAGAAGTTTGCAGAATTTCCTGAAATTCGCAAACTTTTTGAATTAAGCTAAAAATTTCCTGAAGTTCTCTGAGTTTTCTTATTATTCGCAGAATTTTTGTGAAGTTTGCAAAACTTTCCAGAAAATTTACCGAATTTTTCTGAAATTCACAAAAATTTTCTGGAGTTCTTGAAATTTTCTGAACTTTTCAAAACTTTTCAGAAGTTTGCAGAATCTATTAAAACTTTCCTGAAGTTCGTAGAATTACTTGAAGTTTCCATATGTTTCGTGAAATTCGCAGAATTTTCGAGAAGTTTGCAGAATTTTCCAAAATTTTGCTGGACTTTCCTCAAATTCGCAGTATTTTCTTGGAGTTCTTGAAATTTTGCTTAATTTTTCCAAACTTTTTTTGAAGTTTGCAGAATTTTCCAAAACAATGCAGGCTTTCTTGAATTAAGTAAAATTTTCTTGAAATTCGTAGAGTTCATTGAAACTCACAGGAGTCTGTGGAGTCACTGTCGTTCCCAAATTTTTCCTGAAATTTGCAGAATTTTCTTGAAACTTGCATAATTTTCGAAAAAAATTCTGAACTTTCCTCAAAGTCGAAGAATTTTCCTGGAATTCTTGATTTTTTTTCTGAAATTTTCAAAAGTTTTCAGAATTTTCTGAAATTCTCAGACTTTTTGAATTAAGTTAAAATTTCGTGAAGTTCTCAGATTTTTCCTGTAATTCCCAGAATTTTTTCAAAGTTTGCGGAGCTTTCCAAAAATTTGCAGAACTTTTTCAAATTCACAAAATTTTTCTGGAGTTCTTGAAATTTTCTGAACATATCAAAACTTTTCAGAATTTTCCAGAAATTTGTAGCCTTTCTTAAATTTAGTAAAATTTTCCTGAAGCTCGTAGAGTTGCTTGAAGTTCCCAGATTTTTCCTGAATTTTGCATAATTTTCGAGAAGTTTGCAGAATTTTGGTAAAGTTTGCTGAACTTCCCTTAAATTCGCAGAATTTTTCTGGAGTTTTTGAAATTTTTCTGAACATTTCAAAACTATTCAGATGTTTGCAATTTTTTCCAGAAATTTTTTAGACTTTCTTGAATAAAGCAAAAATTCTTTAGTTCGTAGAGTTTAATGAAGTTCAGAAACATCCCTGAAGTTCCCAGATTTTTCCTGACATTTTCAGAATTTTTGTGAAGTTTACAAATTTTTCAAAAATTTGCTGATTTTTGCTCAAATTCGGAACATTTTTCTGGAGTTCTTGAAATTTTTCTGAACATTTCAAAACTTTTTAGAAGTTTGCAGAATTTTCCAGAAATTTTCAAAATTTAAAAGAAGTTTGCAGAATTTTCGTGAAGCATGCAGAACTGTTCAAAAATTTGCTGTATTTTCCTTAAGTTCTTGAAATGTTTCTGAACTTTTCAAAACTTTTCAGAAGTTTGCAGAATGTTCAGAAATTTGTTGACTGTCTTTAATTAAGTTAAATTATCCTAAAGTTCGAAGAGTTACTTAGAGCTTTTCAAAACTTTCGAGAAGTTCAAAGAATTTTTCAGAAATTCGAAGACTTTTAGCATTGAGAAAATTTTTCCTGAAGTTCGTAGAGCTACTTGAAGTCCACAAACTTCCCTGATTTTTCCTGAAATTTGTAGAGATTTCGTTAAGTTGCAGAGTTTTCCAAAAAAATTGCTGAAATTTCGTCAAATTCGCAGAATTTTCCTAGAGATCTTAAAAATTTTCTAAAATTTTCAAAAAAATTCAGAATTTTTATGAAGCCACCGTTCTGCGCTGAAATAGGCAGAATACTTTTGAAGTTTGCAGAATTTTCCAGAAATTCTCGGACTTCACATAGGTTCTTACATTTCCGTGAAGCTCACAGACTTTCTATAAATTAGTGCAATTTTCTGAAGTTTCAAAAAGTTTACAGACTTCCTTGAAGTTCTCGGACTTTCCACAGAATATTCCCAAAGTTTGCGGAACGTTCCAAAAATATTCTGGACTTACCTAAAGCTCTCAGAATTTTATTCGAAGTGATAAAAGTTTTGAGAATTTTTCCAAACATTTCAGCAGTTTATTAAAGATTCAGTTTTCAAAATATTCCTAAGGTTCCCTGAAGTTCGTTGAACTTTCTTGATGTTACCAGAAGTCCGTAGATATTTTTTCAATCTCACAGAATTTTCATGTAGATCTTTAAATTTTTCTTATTGCCATAAAATTTTCCTAATGGCTTAGAATTTCTTTGGAGTTTGCAGAATTTTTCCAAAAGTTAGCTGCAGTTCGCAATATTTAATTATAGATTTAAGACCCTTCTTGTAGTTGTGCATCGTACTGAAGGACCTCACAGATTTGGTTTAATTATGCTCAAGGAAAAATTTACCTGAAGTTATTTGACGAACTTTACTGAAGTTCTGGAAAGAACTTCCCTGGAGCTCTGGGAAGAGAATTTCTGAAGTTCTAAAAAGAACTTATTTGAAGTTCTGGAAAGAACTTATTTGAAGTTCTGGAAAGAACTTTTTTCAAGTTCTGGATAGAACTTCCAATATGTTTTGGGAGCTTTCCTGAAGATTTGGGAATATCTTTTTCGCAGATCTGGAAAAGACTTTTCAGATTTTTTAGGAAGAATATCTCGAAAGTTCTGGAAAGAACTTCTTTGAAGTTTTGGGAAGAGCTTTTCTGAAGTTTTGCGAAGAAATTCCTTGATATTCTGGGAAGAACATCGCTAAATTTCTGGGAAGAACTTCTTTGAAGTTTTGGGAGGAACATCCCTAAAGTTCTGATAAGAATTACCCTGGAGTTCTGGGAAATCTTTTTCTAATATTCTGGCAAGAACTTTGCTTCAGTTCTGGGAAAAACTTTTTCTGGGGAAAACTTGCCTCAAGTTGTGGATGGAACGTTTCCAGAGTTATGGGAGAAATTTTCCCGAAGTGTATTTAAGAATATTTTTTCAAGCCTTCAGGTTGATCAGGTTCTATTCCGAAGATCTTCAATTTGAAATTGTTAACATAATTATTTGAGAGTAAGCTGCCTTCTTCGAATTTTGAAGAATTTTCCTGAAATATACAGACTTCCTTGAATCTTTTAGAGTTTTTCTGAAGTTCGTAGACTTCCTTTAAGATACAATTTTCTTAAATTTGTAAACATGTTCCGAAGCAAGCTGAATTTTCCTAAAGTTCACTAAAGCTCCTGAAGTTTACTAAACCTTGATGTTGTTCTCAGAAACATCCTGAAGTTCGTAAATGTTTTAGCATGTTTATAGAACGTTCCGGAAGTTCACAGTTGACTATGAAATTTACAGTTTTTTTAGGAGCACAGACTTCCTTGATATTTTCAGAGATTTCCTGAAGCTTATTGAATTTTTTTGGAATAAGCAAAAGTTACCAGTATTTTTCCAGAAGTACCCTAATAAAAAATCATCGAAACAATTTGTGGAATAGTTCTATTATTTGGGTTATTGTTACGTTATGGTATTATTTTATTAGGGATCGCTTACTTCACTGAAGTTGACAGTATATTATTGAAGATATCCCTCAATTCCGAAGTTCATAGACTTCCCTTAAGTTCACAGACTTCTATGGAATTCCCAGATTTTTCCTGGAATTTTAAGAACTTTCCTGAAGTTCTCAGTATTTTTCAAAAGATTGTTTAACTAACCACGTTGCACACAAGCGTATTCTTATCAAGGGGGGGGGGGGAGGTGGCTGTCAAATACGAACAATCATCGCCTACCTCGCATAACTGGTTCCAAACGTAAACAAGCCATAAGAAACCTACAGCGCTTGTTTGCGTTTGGAACCAGTTTCATACAAGATGATCAGTAGGCTGATTTGACAGCTCGTCCCCCTCCAGATTCTTATTGCATTTTGCTTCCGAGGTTGATGTCTTCGCTTCGCTCAAATTTTGACCTAGTGGCAACTATCCATTATTGCTGTATGGTCCATATAGTGTATAGTATCAAGCATTACTGACTGACAGCTGACAGATGCAAAAGTCATAATGACATATTTTACAACATATAAGGGGTTTCAATAAACGACGTAGTTGGGACCAATAGGGTTGTCCATAATTCAAATGATAAACCAATCAAAAATCGTTAGTTTTCTATTGAACTAGTAACTTGCAAGCATCTTGAATAGCGAGAGATAAAAGTCATCTACATATCTGTCATCCACATTGCATCTAATGCTAGAAAATCAAAGAAAGAAACTCGAAACTCACCCGACAGAAATAGATCCTGGAGTGCCTGCACCGATTGGCACAGCAGCGCCCATCCTTCCGGTTGACTGATCCGCTTCAGGGCCACCACATCCGCCAGGGTAACGTAGGTGAGACAGTAGCCACCGGTTCGACTGCGTTCGCCACCGTCACCACCTCGATTCAAAGTGTTTCCTCCTCCATTGGCACCACCACTTCCAGCACTACTGCTACCAACAGCCGAAGCTGGTCTCGATGGTTGTTGTTGTTGCTGTTGTTGTTGTTGTTGTTGTTGCTGCTGTTGTTGTTGTTGCTGCTGATGGTGCTGCTGCTGTTGATAATGGTAGTTGATATTGTGTTGCTGTTGCTGTTGCAGCTGATGTTGATGATAGACCTGCTGCTGTTGTTGGTAGTGATGCCGTTTACTACTACTACTGTTACTATTACTATTACTACTACTATTACTAGCACAGCCTTGTTGATTCTGATGCAGTTGTTGTTGTTGATGGGATTGCTGTTGTTGCTGTTGTTGTTGATGTTGTTGTTGATGTTGTTGTTGCAGTTGTTGGTGCTGTTGTTGTTGTTGCTGTTGTTGGTGCTGTTGAAGATGGTGCTGGTAGGTTCCGACGGTGCCTACTATTGCCGTGGCAGTCGTGGCCGTGGAGGACGCGGTCGAAGCTCCCGACCTGGTACTCCGGAGCGAGTCACGGTCATCGTTGCTGCTGTAGTGTTCGGTTGGCTGTTTCCGTTGCTGTTGAAGCTGAACACGGGTCGTAGCCAGCTCTAGGAATTCCGAGCGCAGTGCCTCGATCTGCTTGGACTGAAGGTCGAACTTGCCATTATTGTCACTGCTCACTGCTGCAACAGCCGGAATACTGCTAATATTGTTATACTTATACTGAAGATAAGGCCCCCGCGGTAAAGTGTTATTCGTATAGGCACCGTAAGTGGGTCTCGGCCCGGCCTTAAGCGGTTGTTGCTGTTGCTGACTCGGTTGGCCGCTCTGGTAGACAATCGGCCTTTGCTGTTGTTGTTGCTGTTGCTGTTGTTGATGTTCTGAAAATTGTTGCTGTTGATTTTGATTGTGGCTCTTCTTCAGTCTGCTGCTGCTGTGGTGGTGGTGCGGGGCGGCGTCTGGCACTGCCACTAGATTCGATAATGAGCTCGATGACGATGAATGCGGTAGGGAGACTCGTATCGCCGTATTGGAAGAGACTCCCCCCGGTCCTGCAAGAGTGGGATAGAAGAGATGCTGCTGCTGCTGCTGCTGCTGTTGGAGTTGATGCTGTTGCTGATGATGATGATACTGCTGTTGATGTCGATGGTGATGACCACTGGAGGAGGGCCTTGGCAATGTGGCAGCATGTGTTCCTGATGACGACGACAACGACGTTGTGGACGACGTGTGATACATTCTGTGGAGTGGAACAAGAGAAAGAGAACGGGATGGTTAGAGCGAATTAGTGCTAAAGTCGTTAATTAATCATCATCACAGTTTCCGACGTCGTCGACGTCGTCGTTGGGTGATGGCAAGTTTTGACGGCGATGATGAGATGGGAAGGTGGGAGAAGAAAAGTGAGATCATTTATCTCTTCAGATGTCGTGTGCTAATTGAAAAGATTGGTTTGTTCAAGGAGAATTGCGTGGATATCCCAGAATAATGGTGGAAATTTGTGTAGGTGGCTCCCTTACTGGCTGTTAATGGTAGAATGGGTGGCTAATTAATTGTGAAGTTAGGTTGGGATAGAAGCCAATCATAGTTCGTCTGGAAAATGTGAGCAATTTAATTAGATTCTGTCGGGGGATGGCAATATGACAGGTTAAGATTATTAGTGATTACATACTTTGGGGTCTGTCAACTCAAACGAATTATACGGTCAGAAGGCTTAAAGGGCAAATACAGTGCGCTATTTGATTACAGCTCAAGACTAATTATGGTTTGACGAGTTTTTGAACAAGTTTGAGAAGCTGTGGGTTGGGTTTTAAAGTCTTCAGGAGCATTCGTCTAATGTTTTTTTATGCAAGTACATGCTCAAACCTGCAGGACTTTATCAGAATCGCTGCTAGGAAAACTTTATGTGACAGGACTTCAACGAACGGTTTATGAGCCTTGTGTTTTTAAATCCATCGGGAGCATGTCCATCGATCTTCTGATGCTAGTCTGAAGAAAATGGGAAGCTCAAGACATTTCGGAAGCTGCTAGTGAGTAACTTTAAGAGAGTTTTCCCTAGTTGCACTGCAAACTTACAAGATTTACCGCTAGACCAATGGCTCTGGACACCGCTAGAATTCTTTGCATGGTATACTTAATCCTTCCATGACTTCACAGGTTCTTCTGAACTTAGCTTGGGATCAATTCATGGTCCATGTATGTCACTAGCTTCTTGACCTACGATCCTCTAGAACTTACTAGGTTCTTATGATGGTTCGAGACCCCTCCCCCTTCTGTAAGGGGGGGCTCCCATACAAATGAAACAGAAATTTTTGCATAACTCGAGAACTAATCAAGCAAATTGAACCAAATTAGGCATGTGGGGCGAGTGTGGGGGTATAAGGAGATAATCATAGGGGGTAGCCTCTTAGATAATAGGGGGGGGGGGGGGCTACGTACAATATAGCATGCTTTTTTTTAAATCGGCGCATAAACTCAAGCTAATATTGAATCCCGAGCAAGACCGGGCACACTCAGCTAGTGTCCGATAAAGGAGTAGGAGTTTTCGGATTAGGAATAGGAGTGAGGTTAGGGGAAGCATTATTGTTTTCTTCCTGAGTATTTGTCGTAGAATTGTCAGAAGCTACTTCGATAGCGCTGCCATGGAAAATTTAATCTCTTCACAGCGCGAAGTTGTTGCGTCTGTTAAGGAACTCTCAAGCTAAATTCCCACTTATTTTCGTGAACGTATTATCGGGCTTGCAACTTTGAAGTCAACTTGTAATTATCTAATCTTAGATTGCACTGCGCTTCTTTTCGAGTCCACCGAAAGAACCATGAGATCAAGCCATGAACGGATCTGGCCACCGAAAACCAGCATCGAAGGGAAGTATCCAGTGGTAGGGTGAATCATCTTATGATCGGATAAGAGAATATTGCACAATTTACGTTGAACCTCAGAACGCCTACAACCGAAAGACTTCAATTGAGATTTCATCGTCTGAGTTGAGCGCTCGGCCTGGCCATTAGTAGCTGGGTGTTAAGGAGCACTAAGCTTGTGGTCAACTGCATTGAATTTCAAGAATTTATCAAAATCTGCCGAAGTGAAATTCCCTACACGCACGAATCTTAGTCTCAGTGGTCATGTTCTTGACCACGTGAACCTCAGGCCACTTCGAAAAAATATCAATCGAGATCAAATAGTAGAAACCCATGAATGGACTCGCATAGTGCGCATGAACTCGTTGAAACGGTTCTGATGGTGCTTCCCAACAATACATTGCAATGGAAGGAAACCTTCGGTGGATTAGCTCTATTAGCCTGACAAGAAGTGCAATCCTTGACCAGATTTTCGATGTACTTATCTATGCCATCCCACCAACAGTATCCTCCAGCAAGCGATTTGATTCTAGAAATACCGAAATGCGTTGAATGAAGTTCATTCAGAACTTTCATTCGCAGCGATGGTGGTATGTTAAACACAACTACCACGCATGATGCAATCCTCGCAGTTTATGTCACGCAGTTTATGAATTCCGTCTTTATCGACCATGTAACCACAGTACTCCGATCAGAGAAGAAGTCGCACTTCTCACGATTTACTCGCAAATTGTACTTATCCACCCTCTTAAAAACTTCCTCTAGACTAAGTAAATGAGTTCTATCATCGGGACCGGTAATGCGAATATCATCTATAAAAACTGTAACACCTGGTATGCCTTGGAGTGACGAGGCTGGTGACGAAACAATACCGTACATGAGTCTGGTAGGACGAAACAAGCCTCTATGGGTACTCAAAGTAAGCAAGTCCCTATCTTCTGGACGAACTTCGAGCTGTAAATAGATCTAACTTAGAGAACCGCTCTACCCCTGCAACGGTTGCGAACAATTCAACAGTAGGAAGTGGGTGGTCATCTACGATCTAGTCATCTAGTTTCAAGCTGATCTTATAATCACCGCACAATCGTACCCTACCGCCAGCATTTTTCACTGGAACGACATGAGCGGCCCACCTTCTCCCAGATACCGTCACTCACGAACTTGTCGATCTCCGACTACTTCCCGAACCGCAAAAGCAGCCGATCTAGCCTTCACGTCCTTTGCTTTGTATCATGACGAACGTTCAGCGCAGCTTTTACACCTGAAATTTTATCAACCCGTTCATCGAAAACATGTGAGAATTTAGTGAACAAATCTTTCAACGCCGCCTTGGCGGTGGATTGATCCGTTGCTCCGCAATAAGAAACCGAATGAGTACCAGGTTTGAATACGCGGATGAAATCTAAATTCAACCAAGTAGCCAATCGCGGCCCAGCAGGGGGTGTCTGCTTGATTCCGGGACGTGCAGAGGTAATGTGAGTTCCTCACCATTAGCAACAACTTTTATCATCATCTTACCGAGTACACCGATATCATTATCGTAGTAACTTGCCAGTCGGGTAGTCGTGGGGAGAATGTCCAAGTCCGTAAAGGACCGTTTCTTGTCCTGTACCCTAATACCCCGTACAGACTATGGCTTATATCATCTAATATACGCTGTCTTGCAATGAGCACTCATGCTTCTAGTTTTCACTGGAAATGCTATATATTGCTCATTGCAAGACAGCCTATGATATAAGCCATAGTCTGAACGTACTATAAGGGACACGGGCGATCCGGTGTCGGCCTCAAATGTCAGCCTCTTCTGATGAAAGCTCGCTTTCTTGCGTTCACGATGGGCAAGGGTCCACACGGCGTCGGTGGTGATTTCTAATGCTGCCAGCGGAGGTTCCAGGGAGTGTCCACGGAGTTTTCTCGCGTTCTCAGTAGAGGAGGTTCTGAACGATTTTGGTGAAGGTTTCCGATTCAGCCGGCAGAGGTTCCAGGGAGTTTCGACGGACTTTTCTCGCGTTATCGGTGGAGAAGGTTCCGCACAATTTCGGAAATCTTTGCGAAATTTTCTCGTGTTTTTGGTGGAGGAGCTTCCGCATGATTCCGGTGGAGATGTCCGATGCTGCCAGCTGAGGTGGAGCAGGTTCAGTGCGATTTCGATGTTGGTAGTGGAATTTCCGGAGGGAGCTTCTGCACGATTTCGTTTGAGATTTTCGGTGCTGCCGGAGGAGGTAGCAGGGAGTTTCTCGTGTTTTTTTTTTTTAATTTAACATCGTTTGTTTGTGCTGTAATTGAGTGTTAAGTGTTCATGAAATTGTGCTACAGTGGATTCTCTCCCGGGAGCCCGGTTCTCCGAGTTCGGATGCCACACTTTCGGCGTATAATGCGTGATAATTTTTGCACCATCGTACAAATAAGGTTCCCGTTTCACATGTACATACAATGCCTTGGTTTTCTTTGCATACACGTAACCTATAGCACCGTAGTAGGCTGTGTATAAAAGAAAATTATTTTCTTAGTTTGACAGTTGCACCATGACGAAGTGGCAGCGTATTCGTGATTTGTCCCTCACGCAAATGTTGCAAAAAGACATTTCAATCGCCGTGGGAGTGTCCAGGTGGACCGTCAAAAGGGTTTTAGACCGAGAAAAGAAAGGACAACTATCCGCAAAGGTGGCCACAGGTCCTCCGAGGTCAGCTCGGGTTCCGAGGGTTATCGCTGCTATCAAAAGCAAGATTCGGGTGAATCCAGTGCGTTCAATAAGGAAAATGGCAAAGGAACACGGGATCAGTGACTTTACGGCACGGAAGATCGTAAAGGAAGATTGCGGGTCGAAGTCGAGGGCACGAAAAAAAAAACTTACATGATTACCAACCGCATCCGGGAGCAACGAGTCGAACGATGCAAGAAAATCTTGAACTTCCTTAAGCGAAAATATTCGGTAATCCTGTTCACCGACGACAGCATGTTTTCCGTCTATCCCGTATCAAATTCCAGAACCGACCGGTATAGTAGTTCTCTTCCGGTGAAAGACGTGGCCGACGAGCACAAGAACGCGTTATGATGTTTGGATTGGTGGCTTCCGATGTCGGAGATTGCGAGTGCTCTGAAGGATGCCTCGCTGGATAGGCCCAAAACTGGACGGGTGGTAGCTGGTGGCCGCAAACGGTTCCTGGGGAAAGCGCTAGACGCGAACCTCCTCCGCAATGCAAGAAAATTTGTTTCCGTTAAAGGAGGTGCTAGATTGAATAAAAAAAGTGCTATGTTTCGAATTAAATACCATAAATCACTTATCCTGCTAACACTGCCGGTGTACGGTGACGAAGTCAAGTTTCCGCTTTTCCATTTAACGGTATATATGAAAAGAATGACTGTAATTTTTTTTTGAATCAA